TTTAATAAATATAAATTAATGCATCATTTTAAATTTATTTAATAATTATTTGCAGATAAGGATTCCATAATGAATTTAATTCCAAGAAAAATATCAAATCAACAACACACGGAATTCACATAAAAATCCAAGTGACAATAATACCAAATTATCATATAAATTATAAATTCGACAAACAAGGAATGAGACATGATAATTCAAGGACATACTAAGTTCCAACAATTTTCCAATTTAATACATAAGGGCGTCTACGAATTTCAACCGATATAATTTGCACATATAAATTAAGTACGTACTTGCCACCTCGCGTACACGTCTTCCAATCACACAATATCCCCATAAGAATCAATGTCTAAGGGGTAATTCTCTCACTCAAGGTTAGGCAAGATACTTACCGTTATGAAGTTAGGCCGATATTCCAAAACTGCCTTCTTGCTTGAATTGACCTCCGGACAACTCAAATCTATTAAAATTAATTGTATAGCTTCATTAAAATTTATCGGAAATAATTTCGGATACAAAAACGTCAACTTATAATTTCATATTTAAAAAGTCAACTAAAGTCAACGCGGGGCTCGCATCTTGGAACCCGCCAAAATTTTTACGAAATCCGAATACCCATTCCAATATGAGTTCAATCATACTAATTTTATCAACTTTCGGTAATAACTCGGCCACCAAATCTAAATTTTCAATTTTTGAAAGATTTTGCAAAACTCCCAACTTCTTCCATTTAAATCCGAATTAAATGATGAATATAACTATGGATTTATGAAATATAATCTCTTTTGGATATAGGACACTTATCCAAGTTGAAGTCTTGAAGAAATTCCCAAAATCCTCCAAGAACCGTGCTCCAAAAATCCAAAACGAAATGAAGGAAATGACCAATTTTGGTCCTTAAGTTTCTGCCGAATCAAAACACTATTTTGGTCGCTAAAAGTCCAATTTCTGTCGCTAAAAGTGCCAAATTTGGTCGCTAAAGGCGCGCACAAGAACTGTTTACACCAAGAGTTTATGTTTCACTAAAAAGGCTTTAACTCCTTCATACGAATTCGGAATTCGACGATTCTTATTCCTATGAGTCACAAATAATAATTCGAACCTACATGTTTAATCAAAACTCAATTTGGAGCTCATTTGCTTAATTCAATACCAATTTCGCTTGTTAAATAATTAACTCATGTTTCGCGCTAAAAACCCAATCGCAACTTGATGAAATTATACCAAATATTCCAAATCGTTCCTATAATTCATTAGCAAACTCCCGGATATCTCAAAATCGATTTTCGATCTCTAGAACTAAAAATAGACCTTTGGATCATTACATGCTTATGCTCAAAACACCAAACTCTTCCAAAAACTCTTCCCAGACAGTATGTAGTGTATCAACTATAACCTTTTGAACCCAACTCCAACTATAAAAACTAGATACAAAGAGCTACAACTTTTATTTCTGGATTATCACCAAATTCCTTATAGATTACGAGATATAAGCTTCCAAAGTCAGCCATGTGCAGCAGAAATTTCTGCGATGCACACTGTCACGCAAAATAACTACAGTACCAGGCTTCGATTAATCGATCATAACTTTCTGTACAAATATCCAAATAATGAATGGTTTACATTTCTAGAAACTATACTCAAAGGGCTACAACTTTTATTTTTGGATCATCTTCAAATTCCTTACAGATTACGTATAAGCTTCCAAAATTAACCCTCTGCAGCAAAAATATCTGCGATGCACACTGCTGTAGCCAAAAATCAGCAGTTAAAAATGGCCTAGAAATGGTCCGAAACCACTTCAAAACTCACTCGAGCCCCTTGGGACCCTGTCTGAACATACCAACAAGTCTCAAAACATATTACGAAATTAGTCGAGGCCTCAAATCACATCAAACAACGCTAAAACTACGAAATAAAAATAAAAATTGTTGAATTAGTCCTTCATATAATACCCAAATTCTCAAAAGTCAGTTTGGTAATTACTCAAAAGGTTTAAAAAGGAACTCAAAAGTATTAAATTTAAAAGTAAAGACCTTTTTTTTTTTTTATTGATTTAAGCCCTAATTCATGATTTTTTCAATTTTTTATCTTGACCGCTAGTCTGCTTATATCTCCCAAAAGCAACGAATATTTTATTTTTTTTACAAATACAAAGAGAACTACATTCGTCTTCATAGCAGCAAATTCAAAGTTCAAATTGTAGGTTAATCATCCTTTTTGTTCCTCCATATAGAAAACTTTATTCTTTGACTCAAATTACTTGTGCTTGTAAGTAACGTATAATAGATTGTTTTGATTAGTTTTTTGTGGGGATGAAGCATACATATATATAGTTTTCTTCAATATTTATGCAATTTTACCTGTTTATAAATATTTACTGTCATTATATTATTTTATAAAATATTAAAAACTAAATACATATGGGGCTTACGCCCCGGTGAGGCATATGTAAAATGCCTCGCCTTACGCCCACGCCTTTTAAAACACTGATCATACCCCAATTCAAGCCTAATGAAACTAACAAATTACAACTTCTACATTCGATGCCGAAACCTATCAAATCGAGTCCGATTGACCTCAAATTTTACACACTAGTCATAAATAACATAACAGACCTATAAAAAATTTTAGAACTGGATTCCGACCCAGATATCGAAAAGTCAACTCCCCGGTTAAACTTTCTAAAAGTTTTCTATTTTTTAACTTTCGCCAAAATGCGTCGAATTGTCCTACGGACTTTCAAATCCAAATTCGTACATAAGCCTAAGTCCTAAATCACCATACGAAACTATTGACATCATCAAATTTCTATTCCGGAGTCGTTTTGCTCAAAAGTCAAACTCCGATCAACTCTTTTCATTTAAGTTTCAAAAACAAGAATTGTTCTTTCAATTAAATTCCGAATCTTCCAAAAACCAAACTCGATCACACACGCAACTCATAATGTATATTACAAAGCTACTTGGGACCTTAAGCCACTGAACGGAACGTAAATTCTCAAAATGACAAGTCGAGTCGTTACATGGATTAAGAACTCTATTCGACTATAGTAATTCTGGCGATGAAATGTACGAATTGAAATGTGTTTTCTGGTTAGGAGTGTCAAATGGACAGATTCGGTTAAGTTTGGGCATGTGAAAATGATTTGAACTAATAAATCAGTTGGATCATAGTCTAAACAAAATTAGCTTGGATCAAGATTGGCGGATCAATTTGAATTAAACGATAGGTCATAACCTAACCCAATCAACTCAATGTCAATTTCTACTTGTTTGATTGCTCTTTCATAATTTGTTTAATTATCAAATCAAACTAACCAAAACAAATCCATTATCATGACTAATTAACTAAACCCAACTCTTTTTAACGTATCAATAAATTTGTTATCACACCTTCTTGGGGTGCGTCCTTCCTCGTGCGAGAAGTTTTGGCTGTCATTTTATTATCAGTTAATTTAAGCTATATAGGTTGCTCAAATTGATCCGAGTTTTTCACATGAGCTAAGGGATATGTCATGAATTGGTCCACACACGTGTTGGGTGGGGTGGGGTGGGGGTGAGGGGGAGACCTGAAACTTGAGCTAATTGGCGAATTGGCCTATTTAGTAAGGGTTGATGTTTACAAAACTTTAGAGCTGATGGTCAGGTAACTAAAGGGTGATATGGCACACAAATCATTTCATATTCACGTTAAATTCTAAGAAATTAAAAATGTTTTGTGCATCAACATAATACAAATATTATTGGCTACTTTCACCGCTCAAACACGTAATCAATAGGTTACACAGAAAAAATTTTACCGTTACTTCAAAGCTCCGGTTGGATGATAGGAATTGTGCGAGTGGAAAGATTCATGGGCAAGATAAAGATTTGACATTCATAATTAATGCTGGTGGTATCGTTGAATCTTCCAACTAGAGGACCATATTAAGAGTGGGCATATTTTCTTGCGTGCTTCATTTTCCTGCACAAATTCTCAAGACTAGGCTTGATGTACTGCGGTTGGTGAGACGAATTAATTTCCAGGAAATTCATTCGAAGTTTACCATATTTAGATGGCTAAGGAACATATGCTGTATTATTTCTATTACTTGTCAAAGTCTTGTTCTGGTAACAGAAGCATAAATTATAAGTATACCATAAACATTATAAAAAGAAAAGAATAGTACCATAAACCATTAAAAAGAGAGATCATAATGTAATTTAATCCCTTTTGTTTTCTTTCTAAGAATATACCACAAGCAGAAATTCGATAATCTGAAAATTAAGTGGAACTTTAGCCATATATATAGAGTAAATTAATGACTAATCCTTGTACTATAGATGCATTTAGTTAACTATTTTTTAAATGCTCCTACTTCAAGTCTTCTAGTCATCTTTATAATCACGTGATGTGGAAAATCTTTAGTTTTTTTTTTCTTTCATTAACTGCTCAACGATGGTCAGGAGAGGCAATTTTGAGCTCCTGACATTTTCAAAAATTTCGGCTCTGAATTGTATACTTTCTAGTTTCCTACTTACCTATCCCGAGTGATCGAATCTTTAATTGGATATCATTAAATTTGATTCTATACAGCACGCAATTCAATCCCAATAAGATTAAAAATACCGAAATCATAAATTTTATTTTTTCAATAATCGAAAAATTTACTATTTAAAACCTCCAAACTCAATAAATAATGAACTCCATCATCTACCCTTCTCCACTTATATACCAAACTTTATTTCCACCCTATGTTTCATTAGTATGCCTAAACCACATCTCACGTTGTATTGCGTTAAATATTTACCCGCACTTATTGTTTACAAAAAACTTAACAACTAAACCTTAGTATGTAGTTAAAGTGAGAATATATATCATTTAACCATATTGGTTAAATGGTAAAAAGCGTTATAAAAGACATATTTCTTGCACTCATTCGTTTAAGGTAAACACCAAGTGCGAATAAACTTTTATTGTTGTACTATACCTTTGTCGTTGAAAAAAGCTTTGGGGCAGCAGTCTAACCGTATATTAACAAGTGTGATTAGATAAAAACTCATAAACTTTGAGCATTGAACTCAAACATAAGTAAAGAATAAATAAATTCAAAGACATAATATATAAACAGGCCTTCAAACTTGGCCCTGACAAATATGCCTCCAACTTTAGGTGTGCAAGGGTAGACACCTAAACTTGTATAATGTTGAACACATAAATATAAGTGCTGACGTGGCACCGATGTAGCACATAAATTTTGAAGGTATCTAGATGATTATTTTGTAAATTGGAGTGTTCAAGTGACAAACTTGAGACAAATTGAGGTGCCTATTAGTGCTCACCCAAAATTAGAGGGTATACTTGCCGGCTGAGGCCAAGTTGTTTATCTATTATGCCTAAATTCAATTGGTGTATAATAAGTAATTGAATTTAGACTTGGAATGGACAAGGCCAATGTTTCAAGTCCTCATCTTCAACTTTAGAATTGCTGTTGAATTTTGAACTCACTTCAACTACTCCCCCATTCCCTTCCACAAAAGCATTGTACCTTAAGACAAATGCCAAAAGCAAAACAACCCATTCCAAGCAAAATATCAAAATGCATAATCCACCAGCAAATTTCAAGATCGTTGCACCATCTTCTACTCTAACATAAGAATTAAAATTTTCTAATAAATCCAAAGTCCTTGTAAATATAAGGACCGAAGCAGAGCCTTGAAATATAGCCGTTAAAACTGTAGCAACCATGTGGACACCGTACCACTTGTTAGAATCTGCAGAGGCAACAATCGATGTGCAGCTAAATGCTGCACTGGCGATTGTTAGCACGTGGAGGAGGATAAAAAGACCACCGTAGAGGGACGGGATTAACCGAAGGGAGAGAGTGAGGAAGACGCAACTAGATGCTGCTCCTAAGAGAATATAATTTGTAAAGAGGAATATTTTGTGAGTTCTATGATGATCAGAGTGAAATTCAGTTTCTTTAAAATCTGAAGTGGTGATTGATAGACCCATTGGTTTGGATTTGTGATCTGTATATGAAGAATCTAAAAATTTGTATGAAGAATGTAATGCAGAAATTTGAAGTTTTGAGGATTATATACTAGTATTTGACAATCAGACCGTTAAGTAAAGGATTAACGGCTAGTTTTAAAAAATGGGGGGGGG